CAATAAGGAGAGTGTTGCCATTGAAAAATGTATATACTAACATCTAGTGCGTAATAGTAAAGCGTTGAAGTTGTCAAGGAAAATTTGTAAATATCCGTAATCCGTTTGAAAACTTTACTCACACCTATATTTTATTGATCAACCATTAACCTATTCTGATGTATGTGTGGGCGCTGCGAATAGTCCAGAGTGACTGCAGAGTCTTATACAAAACTCCAAGAACTTTCTAATGCGTTGTCAACCTTTATGCTGAACTTCCAGTAATAAGACAGACCGACACATTTGACATTTTGCTTTGACTTAAACTTGAATTGAGGCTTTACTAAAATTATCTGAAACAATTGTTAAATTTTTCAACTAAAAATTTAAAAAAATCACAAAAGTTTACTAGGGTGAGCCAAAAAACGAAGCTATGTATTGATTTAGTAAATCTACTTACAGAGAAAATACTTTTTGACATAGGCACATTTTTTAAGAAAATTGGAATGCCCAGCGCTACCTTTTCAAATTAAGCAAAAAATTTAAATTTAATCCCAAACACCCAACTACCGGATTAAAGAATAAAAAAGATAAATTTTAATCTAAGGCGGTAATAAATAAGACTTAAATTTAAAAATTTGTTTTACTATTAATATTTTAACGCGTTCATTCAAATTAAAAAAAAAAAAATTTCAATTTTTAATCCTTAATAAAATTGGTTTAAAACATTAAAAATAAATTTTTAATCTCAACATCGGTAATTTTTTAAGTAAAAAATTTGCAACCCTGATTATAACCTATAAATTTGATAGTTTAGTTTTTGGGCTCACCCTAGTATACATTTTGTGATTTGTAATTTTTTTTTTACGCACCGTGAATCAAGCATAGTTCAATCAATTAAGAAATTAACATTCCAAGAATCTACTGTTCGTCACATAACAAATGGTAATTCATATAAATATTTTGTTCAGTCATTAACACTTTAACATGAGAAAATGTTAAATATAGGTATATAATGTCGGCTTTTTACTTGCCTTCAAAAACGTTTTGACTGCATTGCGGTGAAAATTTGCAGACTGAGTTAAATAACCTAGCACTCGTCTGCTAAAGTACTAGTTAAATAACAGACAAATTGTAAAAACAGAAAAGTTGCGAAAAACAATACAAGCAGACCTGCAAAAATTTTGCAACAAAAACAACAACAGCGCACTGCGACACGTAGTCCAGCGCAACTTTGGCAGCTACTTTAATTAGAAACGTGTCCGAAGCTGTCGTCTACTTTTTGCTATATTTTTTATACATGTAGCAAAAAGAAATGTAAGCAGTGATGAAACATAGAAGCAAATAATGTAACAAAATTTTTTTTTTGCAAAATAGCTCTTATTTCGAAGTGCATTTGTGAAGTACCTACACCAAATTCTAATAGTGATGAACGAAACCCACTCGGCTATTGCAGCAACGAGTAAGATGGAAACTATTTTACAATAAAACAAAACTAGATTAGGTGCAGTATGATAATTTCATATTGGTTGATCTCTTGCAATCTCGCAAAATGACGATAACAACTTCAATATTTTTTCTTAGTTTAAAATCGAATTTACGAATGTTTTTGTGATTACCGTTTTGAATGTGAATTTGTAACTTCCGTCTGGAAAATATTTAATAATAAAATCATGAAGAAAACACTTCTCCAAAGAGCGGCAGGGAAGTAAATAATGCAAACGTGACGAGATATCTACGGTCATGAGTAATTTTTTTGTAGTTATAGAGAATGTCATCTACCTCAGAACCATTTCCAACTCCTTGAAAGAATACACTCGACTGGGTACATAAATCCTACGATTTTGCTTAAAAAACATTATCTTATTATGCCATAAAGTCACTCATAATAATGCCACGTAACTAATTCTTTCTCTCCTGTCATGCTGACAATATCTGACGAGGTAGCACTTGAGATAAATAACGCGTAAGATGAAAAGCACTATATGATCTATAAATAATGATGCCAAAAATTAAATGTTACTTCGATTGAAGTATATTCTCCAACACTTCAGCTCTGGGCATAATCCAAGCAGTACCTACTTATGACAGCCAAAAATTCGCTTTGTCACTAGGCGTACTAAAAAAATGTATGATAGTGAAAAATATTTTCGATTTTACACTTTTGAAATACTTAGAGATTTTTTAATAAACTTCATAGGAGTTGCATAATCGAGAGAGTTAAAATGGAACTGTGAAAAAAGAAAATTATTATCTGTTGATAGTAGTTCCCACTAAAGAAATAAAAAAGTAAGAGAGTATCATCGGCAGAAGAGCAATGCTCTGGCTGTTACAAAATTCTGAAAATGATTGATGAATTTTTAGCGCCCAAGAGAACACCAGTATAAAAATATCAAGAGATCAGGCCAATTGTTAATTTTCTTGAGCAAAATAAAAGCCTCAGCAAGCTCTAAGTAAGCGCCGCTGCTGCTAGTATTTACTGAAAAACAGAAATTGCCAATTTATATTTGACAACTTATTAGCATACAATGAAAGAAGAAAGCAATATAGCTTTAATCTTAAGGGACGTATGTCGGCTTGCCACTTTAAGCATTTATATTCATTTGCATCTGTCCGTCTGCCAAACAAAGGTAAAATCCTAATTTTTATCGATAGCAAGCACTTAAAAAACGAAACGTGACTAAAATTAAATAAAAGCAACAAAAGGTAAATTGAAAGTGGAAAATTGTATGTCGTTTTTTCGTTACAACCTTCGTGAGTTGCACTCAAGCGGATTCAAGTGCTTAGTTGGTAATCGTTTTTGGTAGGCGTTTCAAGTGCGAGTGAGTGTATGAGTGTTGCCATATATAGTGTAAGAAGATGCTGACAAAATTTAAATTTTAAAATTGATTTAGTAGAAATTTGAGATGAGGGAATGTTTGAATCAATCATTGGGTTTAACTTAAAGCTCGATGGCGCGTTGGAAAAATATGAGCTTATATGAGCTCCTAAGGCAGAGTAATGCGGTATTTTTTTTCTAAGAATTTTCTTTTCAATTACTAAATTGTTATTTCTAAAACAACAATTTCTTTCATGTACATTAGCAACAGTTATTAATTATTATAACAACTGTCATAACTGCTGTTGTGACAGTTCACACTTTATGAAATGAAATTTATTTTCTCATTAACTCTAAGCCGATTGCTTTGGACAGCTTGCACTTTCGTTTTTTCGTTTTTCGTTTTTCGCTTTTGTTATTTTTTTGTTTTTTTACCCCTACGCAATAATAAATCGCTCAACGCCACACAGAAATAATAGAAGGCGTAGCAAAAACGGTAAAATTCAAAAAAGGCAAATACAAAGCTGGATTAAAAGGGATAAACGCTTATCGAGCGCGAATGTCACAGGCCAGGTTCGGTCAGGCCAGCAATGAATTCCTCACAACATTTTTCTTCGTTAACCTTTTTTTCAGTTAAAACCACGCCAGTAATTTACAATCACAGTTAGTCGTTGTACACAGTGAGTGTGCGTGTAAATGTGTGGCTAAGCTCAGCGGTGTGTGAGAGCGAGGCACAGGAAAAGATTTATGAGCTTGGTCGCAACGATGACAGTTTAGGCGGTCATGTGTGCGTGTGTGTGTGCGTTTTTGGGCGCATCGTGATATGCACAACTAACGGAAACTTTTTGCTGTCGGAAGCCGGAAACGGAAACGGCGAATGTGACATTTGAAAATGTGTGATTCGAAATGGTCAAGTGCAATGTTGAACACACAGAACGAAGGAGGTTTGTTGCCTTTTAAAGGTGTGTATTGTACATATAAGTGCTTAAGCAAATTTGGTAAATAGTGTGAATATATAAGTATATATTTGAAAATAGTTAAGAGCACCAAACCGCTTAATTAAAAAAAACTTTAATTATTATATTTTATATCTATAACTTCCTTCCTTATGAGCTTTAGAGCATGGACTTCCTTATTAGCTTGAGCATGGATTTAGGGCAGACTACCATTGAGAAAACTAATTTAAATTTAGATATATTGCTTAACGAAGTAATGGTGAAACTAATACTGGAACGTATTTCGTGGGATTTGAATAGGCTGTCTGAGAGTGAGCAGTCATTAAGTTAAAAACCATTTTGTTAAAGGTCTTATAGTAGGAGACCCTATAGTATATACATACGATTATATAAATATAAATAAGCGTGACGATTTCGAGTCGATTTAGCCATGTGCATCCGTCTGCCGTCTGTCTGTATACACGCGAACTACTTGTAATTGCTCACTTTTTGAGATATCGATCCGCAATTTTGAACAAGTCTTTTTCATCTCAATAGCTTGATAATTTGTCGTAACCGCCGATTTCGAACCACTATAGCATATAGCTGCCATAAAAACTGAACGATCGGCTTAAAATGCTTATATAAACAACTTTGGATTATTGTTTAAGCAATGGTGTAATCTCCGGAGAAGTTGATCAGTTCGAATCACTATAGCGCACGAACTGGCCGATCAAAATCAATTTCTTGTAAAGAATCTTTTGTATTTGTGAAGGGTGTTATAGATTCGCTGTGGCTATAGTTTTATTAAAGAGTTGATGTGCCTTACTCAGAATTTCAATTTTAGACAATATTGAAGGAATATACCATGAGATCAGATTTGACCCGGACTGACAAGAAAACCGCATTTTTATATATTCAAATATAAATCTTTATTCCCGCTTGCAAAATAACCCCTCTCTTGTATATAACAATATTAGCTGACAAGTTTAAGAAATTTTATTTTTTGATAAAATAAATAAGAATTATGTTTCTAAAATATTTTAACGCCTAAACTTTTCTGTTAAATGTTTATTGTGAACATTATTTCAAATAAATTTTTAAAGGAAATTTCTGTGAATTAAAATTCATGAGATTAAAATATTGCAGAAAAATATTCTTCAAAAATTTTACAATCAAACAAGCCCGTAATGGTTATAAATAAGTCTGGACATACGATTTAATAATAAAATATATTTTTATTTAGATTCCATAAAATTGAAATTTAAGCTCATACATTCAAGTACATATTAATAACTATTTAGCATCAATCATTGCATGAAACAATAAAGATTGGCAGCTTCAGAGCTCAGGATTATTGTTTTGCACGCAATCAATCACTATGTGCAACATTAGAACAAATTATTACCTTCCGACCTGCACAGTTCTTCACACATTCATTTATTTTGCTGTATTTTTTCGCTTTTCCCACCTTTATCATATTTTTGAAAGTAAGCTGCCGCAACACTGAATAGGCATTTGCGCGTGAGTGAATATCTATTGTAATATATGAAAAGAAAAAACAAAAACAGAGAATGTAGCAAATATAATTCAATACAACAATAGCAAGAAACAGATGCGGATAACCCTTTACTTTTGTGCCATTGCACAGCACAATTTCTTTGTGGCCTATATTTATCCTACCCGTCGAAGTTGCGTATGTGTCAGCATGTCTGCTCATAGCATAACATACTTATAGGGGCCAAAGAACAAGGCCGTTGCCTGCATTAAAGGATTTTCTTGTGTGCGCGTGTAGGCGTAAATGTCATAATGTGCAAGCGGCGTCGTTTAAGCGTGTAAAGGATTTGCTTTTGGTATGTAAAGTTATATATCTATATATGCATTTATTTACATACATATAGTCGGCTAAGCGTGTATAAACCATTTCGCGTTTTTCCACTCACAATGCCATTTGCTTACCATTATTTATGCTGGTAATAAATAATTTTCTAACAGAAATGTACATATATGTACGTATGTATGTATAATTGATTTAGACAGAAATTGTGCACACGAGCGCGAGACAGTGACGACTTGCAGGTATTTCATGGCGCAACCCGCATACAAATGTCAGTGTCTTCAAGTGAGATGAATAAGATTTATAAGAGTGAAGCATGTGGCTCACTTTGAGATTTGAAAATATAGAGTTACGTTCCATTTCAAAGCCAGTAACTTAACAGATTATAAATTTTATATTTAAAAAAAATAAAAAGTAAAAGAAAAGGATACAATTAGGCTCAGTTGCAATTAATATAGTTTAAATCAAAGTGGAGAGGTGACGACCTGCTTGGATCGCAGAGAATTTATTTTTCTGTTTTAAAGTGAATCACCTTCAAGCTCAAAATTCTATTAAAGTCTTTTATTAATGTCTTTACATTGATTTTGATTGGCCAGTTGGGATGGCAGCTATACTGCAGATCCGATCTGAACAATATGTTCGGAAGTAAAAGCGTTGCCTTAGAAAATAATCCATGCTGATATAATATGTTGCCAAATAAATAAGCTTTCCATACCAAAATAAAATTTCAATCGATCAATTTCTATGGCAGCTATATGCTATAGTTATCCGATATCTTAGATTTCGACAAATAAACAGTTTCTTGGAAGGAAAAGAATTTATGCAAAATTTCAGATCGATATCTCAAAAACTGAGGGACTAGTTCGTGTATATACAGACGAACAGACATGGTCAAAATCATCACGTTGATCATTTATTATGGATCATTCCATACAAAATTTACATCCAAACATTTTTTTTACTATGGGTTCTCCTAAGTTTCCTACTCACACTTACAAACTACAAACTTCGTGGCAAACTTAATTTACCCTCCCTCTACTGGAAGGGGAATAAATCTACCCCTTATATGAAACCAAACGTTTTCATTTAATATTGTAGAAAAAATCATATTTTCAGAATTTCAACATTTTTCCACTCAAGTAGCGTACTTTAAAGTAAAAGCGCTGCTAAACTCAAAACTTTACTTCTATGCAAACATTTCAAGTCGTTTATTTTGCTTCCAGCTCCTTCGCATGGCTGCTGCTTGTTGTCATTACTTTCTTTGCTTGACTTTAAGTGCTTCAGCAGTTTAACAAGAAGCATTGAGGACCGCAGCCGGACAGCGTTGGGGCTACCAGCAACGGGCGCATGAATATGCAAACGTATGCAACAACAATTACAACAATTCGAGCAACAAATCATGGACACTTTGAAATGCAAAATGAAGACGCTTAAAGTGCCACTAAAAGTGCACAAAGCAGATTTTCTATGCGACTGTTTTTCTGTGCTTATTCTTATTCAGTTATTTCAAGAGAGAATGTATTTTTTCATTTTGCGCGCACGCTCTATGGAGTGTGTGGCGGCTAAGATAAGAGAGTATGCTATGCTTTTTAATGAAAGAGAAAAAATCTTTAGAACGTTTACTTTATGCAAAGCGGTGCTTTTTATCAAGATTTGGGTTTAAGAAAGAATGACACAATAAATTTAAATCCATTTCCAAAAAGTTTGTAGTTGCGCCCGTAAATATAAGCAACATTTTATAACGAAGGTCATATGCTCGCCGAATGGTATGCCACGAAGTTTGTAAAACCCAAAAGCAAACGTCGGAGACCCTATATTTATCCGTTTGTCCATAGTGTATATACCGGAACTAGGCCCTCAGAATTTGAGATATAGAACGGAAATTTTGCACATGTTCTTTCTTTTCCTACAATCAACTCATTTGTCGGAACCACCGATTTTGGACCACTATACTATATAGCTGCCATACAAACTGAACGATCACAAACGTTTTCATTTGCCAATAAATCTTCTCGAAATTGAACATAGGGTATTGTCTAAGCCAATGGTGTCATTGCTCAGATCCGGAAATCGTTTCGTCTCTTTATTTTAAGCATATTGAAGAGGTCTTCAATTTTGGTTTCAGAATTAATAATATGCCATTCAATATAAATTGGCCCTTCGAACTTCTGTCTAAATAACAAACTTTTGGAATAGCATCAGTTTCCCTATCAATCTTTTCTTAACTAAAGTTAACCACACATCAATATTATCCACTTTCCCTGCCTACACTGCCAAATTTGTGCTATCGGTTGGGTGAAATCTCCAAACAATCCCGTACTTTGATTCAATTTAATCTCATCAATAAAACAAAACAAAATAAAAGTTGTGCTAGTTAAAAGTTTGCATTGTTTGCATTAGTTATTCGCATTTATTTGCTATTTGTTTTTCATTTGTCCGACCATCACAACAATTTGCCAGGGTCAATATGCCGCCACTCGGGCAGGTTAATGCAGTCGGATTGCAGCAGTTGCGAGGTCTTTGTGGTCGTCCATTATACCCCGACCAGCTGTTGTCCGAAACTTTTCAATTTATTTGTATTTCATTTGTTTTCTTTTCACCAAAGCAACAAATAATGTAAAAGTTGGTGGAACAATATTCTACTTTTCTCGGCATTCAATTGATTTTCATTTACTTATATTTCACGCTTTAATTTTCATTTTTTGCATTTACTGGTAAAACACGCATTCCGCAGGTTGTTAATATAATATTAAAAAATCTAATTTGTTGTTGTTTCGTTTTTAAATATAGCTAATTTTTTGTTGTAGCACGTGATTAATATTAAATAGTTGCCGATTAATTTATTGCCAGTTTTGTTATTATTTATATTTTATTACTTAATTGCCAAGTTTACTGACAGCATAATTACTGTAAGTTTTATTGCTTCAACTGAAAAAAAAAATCGTTTTAATTTAATGATTCAACACCAACAATTACCAACAATTAGCATATCACTGCTAAATAATAAATATATAATGCTGTCAAAGCAGCAGACAAGTCATATACAAAAACAATTATCTAGAATAAGAGCATTAAAACTTGTACAGCATATTAAAAAACTACTCATAAGTTCATACATACATATGTATGTATGTATGCACATGCAAAGTGTTACTTGAGCTCAGCTTGTAACATAGTCGTTTTGTTAGTTGAGTGAGAATATTGCTGTTAGCTACTATTTATGTACATACGTATATATACGTACACTATCATAACCACTCACGGTGATTAATAAGAAAGCGCAATTATCTATACCCTGAACAGCGTATATTTAATTTACCTCGAAATTTGTACCACACAGTTGTAATCGTCGGCTACCTTATAAATGATCAGCATGATGATTTAGCCATATCTGTTCGTCTGTAGTAGTCCCCAAGCTAGTCCCATAATTTTCGAGAAATCGATTTGAAACTTTGCATACACCCTTTACTTCCGAATAAGCTGCTCCTTTGTTGGAACCGCCGCTATCGGATCACTACCGCATATGGCTGCTATACAAACTGAAGTATCAAAATCCAGTTCTTGTATGAAAAACTTTCTTATTTAACAAGATATCTTCACGAAATTTGGCATAGATTATTTTCCAAAGCAACGCAACCATCTCCAAACCTATTGACCAGATCGAACTACTATAGCATATAGCTGCCATATAAACTGATCGAACAAAATCAAGTTAAAGATTTTTATAAAAGATCTTTTTTACTTATTAAATAACTTTAATTCGACTTACATGTTGCTAATATCGAAAACGTGGCAACAAAAAAACTAGCAAAACATTTTCTGTTGAATGTTAACCGTTTTCCGCTGACGTTTTCAGTTTTAATTGTAGATTTAGATGATATAATAAATGCACCTGTGAAGTGTGTTATGCATTCAAAGTTAACGTTTTTTCTTATTTAATTTAAATTACCTAATAAATATGCATAATAAAATTAGTATTTACGCATAAAGACTCAAAAACTTGTACAATCTTAATCGGCTTATACTTTGCACTGTTATATGCTCGCAGCGGTCCGAGGTACAGGCGCATGGCGTTTCGCATTGTACAAAATAAAACGAAAATATTTTAGATTATTAATTTTATATTAAAAATATAAGGGTTAGGTAAATTGAGTTTGCTTACTGGTGTAGCAGTTGTAATCAGAGAACAGACAAGTATAGTTTTGCCAACAACTGGGTCGTGAATGTGAAAAGAAATAATTTTCTATTAGCCTGATTGGTGCTCATGAATTTATCCGGAAGACAGGGTGTATAATCAGCTCAGCATTTCTTTTAGGGATAGATGAAGATTTATTCTATCAACAAGAAACTTTTAAGATGTTAAAACCCCTGACTGTGGGTCTCTGTTGTAAGTAGCATCAAGAAACACATCAGCACACAGGTAGCACTTTTTTGAATATTTAATGTCTTGATACAATTATATTGTTCTAAAAAAAAAGAGAATGACTATAAATTGCTCATGAAAAGAAAAATTCGAAAATTACGCAGCACAATCTGAAACAAATGAGTTCAAATCTATATGTAGCACATGCCATGAATGTGACCAGAAAATATTCAGAATTTCTATTATTTATCCTTAGTAAAACGAATTTGAATAACATCATTTGAACAGATCATTGACTTCTTGAACAACATACGCAGCATTTTTGATAACACTTTATTTTTAGAATTAATAGCGCGTAAATAGCTCAAACGCACAATAACAGTGCAGACATATTACGCAACGACATCTAAGTAAAGCTTGATACAAGCTAAGCTTAAATGCTGCACTCTATTTACAACTCATAAGTAGAGACAAATAACCAGACCGCCTTCATGCGTTTGTGCGAGTATGTCAATGAAAGTAAGTTAAAGTTCAAATAGCGACAACTTTATTGTGAGATTACTTGAGGCTGATAAAAGTGGCAATAAAAATGCGGCAAGTCTGCGCGCCGATGCTTTATTTGTGAGAGATTGCGCGGCTATTTGCATGTGTCTAGCAAAAAAGTAATTATTTATTTAGAATAAAAAGTGAAAAAATCAAAGAAAGATTATAAGAAAGTGAAGTGAAACCAAATAAATATTTTATAGACTTTATTTAAAAAATATGAAAAAAATTCAAATGAAGCAAAATCAATGAATTAACACTTCAGTAGTGGAAATAAGCGCCGCGTACAAAAAGCTAGTCAAAATGTTTACAATGAAAATAAATTTCATAATTGTATGCACATTAATTAAGCTGACAGTTGCAAGTGAAATTTGTGACGCGAGTGTGTTGCTGAACGCGCCAGCCAGTCGGCAAGCATTAGACGAGACATTTCAACGCACATCGCCGCTTTATGGCTTATCAGCAATCAGTAATGAGTATTTAATCAGAAAACAGTGCCACGAGCACTTGCAGCTCTTCCGAAATGGTGTACAACAGAAGCTGCCTTGGGCGCTGAAAAGTGAGTGTGTAAATTTTGAAAAATATTTAATTCAAAAATGTGAAAAAATAAATTCCAAAATCTTTCAACCGCACAGTGTTCGACGCCTCGGCGAGCCTTGAGCCAGGCTTCACATTCGGTCATAATTTCTGGTTGGGCAATAGTGAAGTCTGTCACGCCGTCGCTCAGCCGGTGACTTCGCAGACATCACCCAATTTACCACATCACATGAAAGCCGAGCTGCTGACCTCCGTAGCGCCTTTCGCCGCCGACTTTCGCGTAATCTACCTACGTCACAACTCCAGCTGGCAAGTGGATCCGATCGTAATTGCATTTGGCATACGGGTGCATGTGGGTATTTGTCTGCCGAGCTCATGTGCGGAGCACGAAATACGCGGCCTCATGGAAATTTACTTGGGTAGCGATCGCTTTGCCGCCAATGCACTGTACGATATGAACTTGCAATATGATTATGCAAAGGATCTGAAGCCGAAGGCGGCTACTTTTCGTAGAACTTCATTTTATTTTTGTTGTCTTTTTATTGCAACAACAATTGGTTTGACCATTGCTGCTGGCATGTCGCGAACCACAGCGGTCGTGAAAGAAAATTATAACAACAAAACTGCTGTTGAATCGCAGGGAGCATGTGAGACTATCGCTGAGAGTAATACTGCAACTGAAAATGTGCAGCCGGAGCATCAGCTGTCGGTTGTTGCCTCGAGCTTTATAGCCTGCTATGACATCCAAGCCAATTGGCAGCACATCTTTAAGCCGGCTAAAGCGAGTCACACATTTGCTGCTCTCAATGGCATACGGTTTGCCAGCGCCGGTTGTGTCGCCGTGTACCATTATTTAATGTCTTTATTCAGTGGCACAAGAAATAAGTTGACGCTCTTCAACTATCAAGTGCATGTGGGAAATGTTGATGTATTTGTGGATATATTTTTTACGATTAGGTGAGTATTCTAGAGTACATTTTTCATGTACAAAAGCTTTATCCATAATTTCTTCGCAGCGGATTCCTACAGTCTTATAATCACTTTCGAAACGTCAAGTTGCTGCAGGCGATACGACAAAATAATTTGAAGCAAAACTTAGTATTGATAGGACTACATATATTTCATCGTTATTTGAGGTGAGTATGTATGTATGTATATAGGCAATTATTCATGTCAAATTTCGCGAAGATATCTCGTCAACTGAAAAAGTTTTCCATACAAGCACTTTATTCCGATCTGAGCAAGGGTGACGACGAAACATCCAGGCACTTTCTCCTCTATTGCACAGACTTTGCAAGACTGAGGCTAAAACATCTCGACAGTCGTACCTGCGACGAACCAAGCGACATAGACGAAACTGACATTAGCCGTCTCAACAAATTTGTCATAGGCTGAAAGCACTTCGTCGATTCATAGGGGTCTTATAACCTATTATATAGGAGTTTTTGGTAAGACAATGGATCGGCGTTTCAAGCTATCCATGTAAGATCCCTGTTCCGATCGACCTCTTAACCTTACCTAACCTAAACTTCAACGTTTCGTTAGTGCCAAGCTGCGGCGCCCTTAAAATAGTATTTTAGAACCATATTGATCTCTTTTGAGTGAAATCATTTTCAGGAAGCTAGTTTTTGATTCTAGAAAAGAGAAGCTAGTCCAAGTCCGACAAATACAGTGAGATGCACAAAAAACTAAAATCGTGATTCCATCATGATTCACTATATACGCAGCCTAACGTTGGAGTGAGACAATAAAATCGGAAAGAAAGAACATTTTCGCAAATCTTCTACTGAGAAATAGACTTAAAATGCTTTTTATAAGCTCTTCGAGAAGCTTATCCTATATCTGAACTCATTTTATCATAACGGCTAAACGATTTTTTAGAAAACACCTTGACAAAGTCTGAGAAAGAACCATATACCATATATATACATAACTTTCACTTTGAGAATTTATAGAGACGCTCTTTCTTTAATGCTTCGGGAGTTCATTGGACAGACTTTGACTTATTATTTTTATATATCTGAAGGTTCCAGTATATTCCGTCTGCTGCTTATAAAAGTCGTCTAGAAAGATCTAGATAGATTTTTTAAACTCCCGTTTTATATCGATTTCAAGAAATCAGAATTTCTAGCAGTACTTGCAAGAAGAAATTGCACAAAACCTCTAAGCGCCTCTACCCGTAAATAATATTTATTTGTGGACTTTCCAGATTAGCACCCTTGTACTTTCTCACTATCGGCTTATCAGATTTTGGTGCTCAACTTATGGATGACATATCAATTTATCATATCGAGCATAAAATGAACCGGAACTGCGAAAAATATTGGTGGCGCAATTTATTCTTCATTCAAAATTTCTACGATCACAACGACATGTGTGGACTCTGGACATGGTCACTGGCGTGTGACATGCAGTTCTCGGTATTGGCCACTATATTACTTTTCCTATATGTCAAGTATGTAATTTGCTCTCTAAAGCCATAATCCTAAACTAAATTCTTCACTATTTTCCAGACATCCAAAACGTACCAAATTGTGCTTAGCAGGTCTCGCTGTGGCAAGCATACTGTACACTTACAGTTATGGACTCAAATTGAATTTCGATGGCGCATTGGAGTCAACATTAGCCTTTCTAACGGAAATCTACATGCATCCGTTAGTACGCATTTTGGCGTACATCGCTGGTGGCATCGCTGGTTGGTACTTTGTTGAGCAGAAGCACTTGCCATTTATCGTGGGCAAGAAGACACAGCAGTATATTAGCTATTTGGTGGCACTCGTATTTTTCGGCTGCATATTCAAACCGCCCTTTCAAACACTCTCGCCGTTCACTTCCACCTCCATTTTATTGCTGGAACGCATCATCTTTGCACTCACAAGCAGTATTTTGATTGTGTCCAATGCGCATGGGCGCATGCGTTGGTTTTTTCGCTTCTTCGAGACGGCCTTTTTCCAGAAATTTAATAGAGTTGTCTACGCAATGTTTTTGTTGAACCCGTTAATCACATTCGGGCTGCCGGGTTTTAGTCAATCGAACCTCTATGCCAACCTTTTATCAATGGTGAGTGTGGGCTTTTTCAAAAAGTTTTCTATTATATTCAATGCAAACTGTATTTTCAGGTGCCTGAAGCTATTGGTGTTTTGGTTATTCTCGTGCTATTTTCAACAGTGTTCACTTTACTCTTCGATACGCCCTACCAAAATTTATCCAGACTGCTGATCGTTCAGCAAACGAAGAAAAAACTTTCTTAGTAATTATATAATCGTATAAAACTAATTTTTACGCTATTTTAATATGTGTTGAATCAACACTGTTGGAATAATAAATTTTTTGATATTGATAAGTTATTTGAAATATTTTTTTCTGAAACTTAAGAGAGTAGTGTATATATTTTTTGACTCCTGGACTGATTTTCTATTAGCAGTGAGTTTTACTTTAATAGGTGGCAACTCCAAACCAAAATATCTCCAAATTTAACTAAGCATTTGTGAAAGGTTTCTGTTAAGAACCCATAATATTTTTAGTTTTGCTTTTTTCGAGGGTGGAAACTTTTAACAACAACATGTCAATAAAAAATCAACCAGAAAACTTTCCATATAAAATATATATCATATTGTTGTACCCTTTAAAAGGTATATTAAGTTTTCCATGAGTTTGTAACACCCAAAAGCAAACGTCGGAGTTTAATATATATAAAGAATGAGCGTGACGAGCTGTGTCAATGCAGCACTTAGTTTTTGGGATATCGCTCTCAAAAATGTAAACCTGCACTTGGTGTGTAAACATAAGTTACTACGAAGAATGCAGAAGTCTATTTACATAAAAATATGTATACCAGGGTTGCCATATATTGCAAAAAGAAACAAAAAAAAATCTGATGTGTGTGTGATGTGTTTTTGAAGATTTATTACGATTTTGTTGAGATTGGCTGGAAAATAACGCGCACTGAACTCCTCGTTCGTCGACTCTCAGCTGCCTCGCGGTTCGTTGCCTACCTTTGGGCGCGTAGTTTCCTAGTATGAAATTGATTAACAGTCCGTTCTCAACGCAAACGATAATAAAATGGCTTTAACTTCAGTACTCTTAGGTTTTTATTACGGATGTGGGTAGAGATCTTGACATAAGAAAAAAATTTAAATGGTGTTAATGGATACGGCGAGTTTTTGAGATCGAAGCCAAATCGAATTTGACAAATCAATTTGCCACAACATTATTGAAATTGTACACATTTTTCTTTTCTCAAGCAAAAAACACAAATAAAGCCATCCTTTTTTAATAACAAATGTGAGTTTGCCTCACAATAATTAATAGGTCACAGAATTTAATATGTTTGCAGAAAAAACTTCCACAATAAAACGATTAACGAGTTTAGTTTGTCTACTCGGCAAAAAACCACTGTAATTTCTAATTTTCCTAACATAAAAATTCCTTGCTGCAACCACAAATCACAAATTAATTAGCGAACAAACCGCGATAAACGCAAATGCAATAACAACCGCAGCGCAATAAAAACTTTGCGAACAAGCAACGCCCACAACGGCACTTGCACACATTTACACACAGCACACACACACACACACTCACAGGGTAGCAACAAAAATGCAACGGTCTACGACAGTGGCGGAGCAATCAACAAATTTGTTTGGCCACATAGCGAATATAATGGCCATTAATCCACCACACAAGTCAAACGGCCAGCGTTGAATGACGATGGCCATGGTGACGACGATCGTGATGGCGATTGCGCTGACGATAGCGTTGACAAAGTGTTAGATTTTTGTTGTTGGTGGCTTTGTTGATTGCTGTCGACAAGTAACCGGCCCAAGTGTCGGTTCAAAGAGCGCCAAATCAGCTGGTGTCGAAAAGTGGCACCTGAAACACACTCAAATAAAATCATTAAACGTGAATAGTCCAGCAAAAGCGACGAAAATGTAATTGAGGAACTAATGCGAGTGCATGCCAGCAAACCATGAACCGCTAGATTCTCAGAAAATATAAAACTGCAGGACTATAGAGTAACGCTAGTGGGCGTCATTGCATACATTATAAAGTCTGCATGTGCATAGCGAATGATAGCGCAGCGTACGTATGGCAAATATATACTTGTGCTTATCGTGAGCACATATGTATGTATGTGAGTGTGGAAACTATCTGTAGTGTGTTCATGCGCTGAATTGCTCCGTGTTGGCTGTTGTTATTGCAGTTAACTCAATTCACAAATTCATCACATTTCCGCTTCCATTATATTTGATGTATTCACCACTAACACTACTATAGCATACTATATGGCTCACAATAATACAACATACGTGCATGTTCATTTGCAGTTTTATAACACATACGCTGTAATTTGGATAGTGGACTTTGCAGTAATATTCGCGGTTGGAGTTGCCACGCTTGCTTTATATACAAACATTATATTTAAACCTATTTTTAATATTACAAGCTCAGTTAGTCTTCAAGCGAATTAAAACAAGAAAAATTACTACGTCCAAGCTATTAAACCATTGACATGTGAATTTCTTTGCCTGAAAATGTATAAAAATAGTTCTATCTTGATTTTGAACGATCAATTTGTGTGACAGCTACATGCTATAATGGTCCGATCTGAGCAATTTGTTCGTAGATTGTAGCCTTACCTTGGATAATAATCTACATTTTTCATTCAATCACTGAATAAAAATAGTTTCAAATTGAAAAAAATTTATTTCTTTATAAAAATATACTTTTTGTTTATAAAAAAAGTGGAAAAAATTCAACGTATATCTTATTGAAAACCTGAGCAAAAATCGTAAAGAATAGGGCTGTTAGTTTTTTGCATAATAAATTAATTTTCTTCGTATACGCAAATGTTTAACTTTTTTCAATATTTAAAATTTTGAAAATTCATAATTCCAAAATGTTTCGTATTAAGTCGAAATAGAAAAGTACGTGTACAATATTCTGCCTCAAAGAACACAAAAAAAAAAGTTGGCACGAAAAAAATTTTTTTATGTAAATTTTGGATGGACTGAACTTTAACGGGTATCGGTATCTGACTTTTCTTTCTGGGTGTTATAATTTTTTTAAGGTAACCGTTATATACCCTGTTCAAAGTAACTATAAAAATTGCCCTTTTTGGAGCGAAAATAGAATAAAGTATATATTACCTGAAACCCCCACCTTCTTTGTACTTTTTGTGTGTTGCCCTGACAATATTGCTGTATTGGAGTAACCCTCACTGAAAATAATTATGACTCGGTATTTAGTTGAAAATCAGTGATGGACAGCGGAATTAGCTTTTTTTCGAACATTTTTTGATTTTTAGTTATTTGTTTTTTCTAAGATGGCAACTCTTTTTAAAAATATATTTAAATAAAAAGCCTCTTAGTACTATTTGGTGTAAATTTGCGGACGCAATTTTTTTGGTATTCTCATTTTTCCACAGGTGGCAACTCTATTTTAAAATTACAACCCTTAAACATGCTTTTGGCTTAAAAAATGAAGTTATGATGTTCAGATTGGTCAATTTGGCTATAGCAGTTACCAAACCAAAATTCTGTTCTTACTACATTTAACTTTTGTGTCCAAGGTAGAAAGAAATATCAATCAACCAACGCATGTATAACAGCAGAATTCCCTCTTGACTAAAACTCTAAAATTTTCAAATTTCTGTTTCAAACAAACTGGCAACACCATACAAGCTTTTAATGCCATTTGGCATGCCACCACTTTTCCAGCACGACCAACCAACTCAACGTAGTCAATCTAATAAATATGCGAAGAATTCCCCGTTTTCGTTAATTTGCATGCGCAACTATAAAATCACGAAAATGCACACGTACACACATACACATACGCAAATTGGTCTCTGTATGCGTATAAATTATGTCTGCCTGTAAACAAACATTAATTTACGTCAACTGCTGCATTCAATTTGCTGCCCTTTTGCGGTCACCTGGCTCGGCAGCGCAACTAGCCATTGCAACAACACAAATAAGAGCAACAACAGAGACGAAAGTGTTTATGAATGTATGAGTGCGCTTATGAGTATGCTTATAAATACACCGCAGCGCATTGCAAACAATGACTGTTTGTCGTTTTGCGGTTAATGAGGTCCAACGACCGCGGCCGAGCACGTTCATTTGCTTAGCTGCGTGTCACGTGTCCGTCTCCCCCCGGCCCACCTCTAACTGGTCGACCACTTGAGTGTGCGCATTGTGCAAATGATTGTTTATAATCCTTGCCGTGCATTTTTAGCGGTTGTTTGACGTTAATGTGGCTATATAAATATTGCGGATTTGTTTGTATGTGCGACGCTTTCGCACACATATTTACAGAGTTAACAAATGTATGAAATGCAATAACCAAAATGCTGCCTAAAAGTTATGCAAATGTGTCAAAACAAATTATATTTTAATCAATGAGTCGAAATGCAATTTTCATTTGTAATTAAGGAGTAGGTGAAGATGCATAATGTAATCACTACCACTATAGTATTTTATAAATACATAAATACATATGTATATATTTATACACTGAACAGGCTATATTAAGTTTGCCATGATGTTTGTAACACCCAGAAGGAAACATCAGAGACTCTATAAAATATATACTTGTATATAAATGATCATCGTGACGAGCTGAGTTGATTTAGCCATGTTCGTCTGTCTGTCTGTATATACGCGAACTAGTCCACACACATCCTTTTCTCCCCAAGAAGTTGTTTGCATGTCGGAACCGCCTATCTCGGACCACTACAGCATATAGCTGCCATACAAACTGACCGATCGAACTCATATTCTTATATATCTTATCATATATATTTTTTGTTTGACATCTTTACTAAATTTGACATGGGTTATTATTCAATGCATCGCTACAATCTCCAAAGAAATTGCTCAAATCGCATCGCTACAGCTATAGATATAGACCTTTTAATACCCCTTTATGATATAAAAAATTCCCCTGTGAAGGTTATTTTTGCTTCGGCGATAGACTAGATGCGTCAAAGATAGACATCAGCAAAGTGAAAATATGCCATATTTTATATTTTTCATCGATAAAAGCTAAAGCGCTAACCAGGCAGTTGAAAAGTTGAATATTGTTTATGGTCCCGATACTGGTCAATCACGCGCAATTTTGGTTTCGTCGATTCCGCTCTGTTAAGTTTGATGTCTAAGAGAGAAGGAAGGCTAAATTGTCTATCGACCAAATAATGGAAATCGTCGGGTCGAACCATGGTTGGATCATGAGCCTAATTTCCACCGGCGAACCACTGTTGAATCGCAAACAAATCTATCCATTTCTGAAGCGAATGGTTACTGGTGATGAAAGCTAAATCACTAACGACAACGTTAATGGTCAG